GACCTGTGATCCACTTCTGAAAAACAACCCGTGAAGTTGTGGGTCACACAGTCTGATCTGAATCCTGGGATGATGTTGCACCAGGCAGCGGCCTGTCCCCTTGTGCGGCGGTCACTAGGAGCAAAAAGCGGCCAGCAGCAACAGTGTGGAGAATGTGAGTGATTTCCAAATATTAAACCAATTGTCGTTATTGTTGGGTAGTGTCAAGTCAGAACAGAGATGGAAAATTACCTGTTTTTGTTTCTTGGAACAACTGATGTATCTGAATCATGTAGCTTTGAGTTGGAAGTGTAATCCCTTAACACTAGGCCACCAGAGCCCCTGGTTAAACCAATTATACACCTTCCCCAGAGAGTGCTCACACAAGGCAGTGGGGACAGCCCTCCTAGACCAAAGCAGTGCACAACCTCTGAGGAAGTTTCTCCAGTGGTTAAAAAGACAGAGTGTGCAGTCCAACAGTGCCAGGCTCCAGCCCTAGGTACAATCCAAATCTGAGTCAGGTTATTTAAACCCTGAGCTTCTGGTTTCCCCAAAAGGACATGATGTATATCTCCAGGACTTTGTTCAGTGTCTGGCACAGAATGTCTCAGGACAAATGTATGAAATGAATGCAAAAAGGCACTCATGTCTGATTAACAAGGTGGCAATGACTTTTAAGGACCAGGAGGCAGTCATCAGAACAGAGTAAGAAGACACTGCATGGTTCAAAATTGGGAAGAGTGTACGCCAGGGATGTGTCCTATCTATATACCTTTTTTAACCTATGTGCAGAACAGATTATCTGAGAGGCTGGGCTGTACGAGGAGAAGTGTGGCATTAGGATTGGAGCAAGATTCATCAACAGTCTGTGTTATGTGGATGACACAACCCTGCTTGCTGAAACTGAGGAGGACCTGAAGCACTTGCTGCAGAGGGTCAAGGACTGCAGCCTCCAATATGGATTGAAGCTCAATAAGATTCTCACCACTGGGCCAAGTGGCAGCATCAGGATGGATGGTGAAGAGATTGAGATTGTTCACAGCTTTAGTTTGCTTGGCTCCATAGTCAACACTCCTGGCACCAGTAGCCAGGAAATTAAAAGACGTATTATGATGGGAAAGTCTGCTGTTAGGGCTCTCCAAAGTACTCAAGAGCAATGGTGTCTCTCTGGAGACTAAGGTGCACCTGATACAGGCTATGGTCTTTGCAATCACTTGCTATGCGTCAGAGAGCTGGACAATGACTAGGGAGGACAGAAGGAGAATTGATGCCTTTGAGCTGTGGTGCTGGAGAAGAGTACTGAATATACAATGGACTGCTAGGAGAACAAACAGGTTCATCCTAGAGAGGGTTAAACCAGGTTGCTCCTTGGAGGCAAGGATTCTGAAGCTTCATCTGAAATACTCTGGGCATGTTGCAAGGAGGGACCAGTCCTTGGAGAAGGACGTCATGCTTAGGAGGGAGGAGGGACAGTGCAGGAGAGGAAGGCCTTCTATGAAGTAGATTGATTCAGTGACGGGGTTAATGGGGGTAGGTGTCGGAGCCAGTGAGATTGGCACAGGACACAGCAGGGTTTAGGGCTATTGTACATAGGGGTGCTATCAGTCGCAGGCACATAACAACACCACAACAGTGGCTCAGCACATGACATGGAGTTGGTAACCAACAGGCTGATAGTTCAAATCCATCCACCAGCTGGTGCCCAACATGGCCAGTCTCCTCGGTAAAGATGGACAGCATTGGAAACAGATGGAAGGTCGTGAGTCACAATTAACTTGATGGCTAAAGGGCTTTGGTTGCTGGTTTTGACTTTAAGATAGTTTTGTAGAATCAAGTAATTAGCATACAGTCTGAAAAAAAGAACAAGAAGTAAGCACCAAATAAAGATATACAAAGGTGTGATGAAGCATGTAGATTGTTAAGGATGGCAAAAGGCACGCCTGGAATGATTTTGTTTAGTTCAACAATAACAAAACGATAGAGAAGACAAAAATAGGTTTAAAAAAACTCAGAATGGTGCTTAGGCAGCACATATACTAATCTGGAGTGATACAACGAAGATTAGCATGGCCCCTATACAATTTTTAAGACCATTATTGTAAAAATATAACTAGTAAAACATATATAGGAATTCAGGGGAGGGAGGGCCGAGGATGGGTAGGGGTGAAACCACAAGGGTGCACAGTGTGGTGGGTGGAGAGAGGGAGGAAGGAAATGGGAAGGATCCAGGCGAAAAGACAGGGTACTGTTGGGCACGGTGCACGATGATTTTATAAAACATAATGTATGAGAATGACTGTATGAAAAACACCATGTGAATGAAGAACAGTGTGAAATACAGTGTGCATGAACTTTGAAAGCAAACCAATTAATACAAACAGAAAAAGTTGAAATTAAATAGAAAAAGAACCCCAGTGCAGAACTGTGGAACTTGGGTCGCTCAGGCATGCTCTTGGGACTGGAGAGTCCATTTTAGAGCAAATATGAAACTGGAAAATGTTTGTTGTACGTATTCTCAACCGAAAGAGCAACATACGAAATGTCAAAGAAAAAAAATGCAGAAGTGCATCCTTGGTTGCTCCCGAGGCAAGGGGAGAAAGGGCGGAGGGGGGACAAATTCTAAACGTGTGTCATCATGCTGCATGGAGGGTGGGCAGTGGCAGCTGGCGACATGGGCATCGATCCTCTCCAGCTCACAGAGCCCCGACTTCCCCAGCAGTGACCACTGGGGTCCTGCGTCGCAGGTACATAGCAGACCTGCCTCCAAAACGAGGCAAAACTACGCCTTGTGCAGAGTGACCGGCCGTGGCTTCAGTGACCACGAGGGTGAGGGCACTGACGTGCCCACAGCAGCAGACCTGGGGACCTATATTGGCAGCAGCAGGGGTAGTGGCAGCGAGGTGGGTGGGTTTGAACTAACAGACTTCAGGCTGTAGCTTAGCAAACAGCTGGGGCACCGGAGCTTCCCACCCTCGCTCCGTCCTGCTGTCCACTTCCAGGCAGGAAGCGATGCTGCGGTCACTTCCTCCCGAGCCCAGCTGACAACAAAAGCCGGTGAGATTGCGTCCTGAGAGGAAGGGAGGCCAGCGCTCAGTGAGGTCACCCCGAAAGGAGGCACCTCACACTAAGAAGTCTGACGCTTGTGAAATACAAACAGGAAGCAGGAGCTCTCCAAAGCGCCCCAAGGAAATCCACTCCCACCCAGGTCAACGTGCGCACCCCAGCTTTGCGCAGGCGGGGCGCTGCCCGCTGTTCGCGCTCCGTGCCCGTGTGCTCACCCCGCACGCTGACCCCACACCCCCAGGTCCCTGTGCAGCGGGCCACTGACCTGGGGCAGGGGGTGTCCCCGTCACATCTGACCTCCCGGGGGCTCCCAGGGCCTCGCTACTGACCCGGGGTGGGGGTGGGGTGTCCCCAGTCACGTCTGACCTCCGAGGCTAACGGGGCCAGGGGAAGTCAGTGTCCGGCGCCCACCGCCTGCTGTCCCGCGGGCTGCGGGTCACAGGGCCCGGCTATTGTGGAGGGGGGTCTCCACGGGGTCACAGCCATCGTGGCCGCTGCCGGGGGGTGTGTTCTCGTGTCGCACCCTCCTCCTCTCCCCGGCCTCGAGGTTCACACTAAATAACCATGAAATCCAGTCTCCCACTAGACACGTTCCCGAGGCTGCCCCCCTCGAGCGCCCAGCCCGGCGGAGGCCGACGGTGTCCGGTGCTGGCCGGTTCCGGTCCCCGCCGCCTCTGTCGCAGCGAGCTCCTCTCGGGGACTGCGCGTCTCCTGCGTGGCGCACTCGGCTCCCCTCTAACTCCTGCCCCGGCTGTCGCCCGCAAACACTCGGCCAGAGCCCCGGGGACGGGAGCCCGCGCCCCGGCGCCCCACAG